CACACACACACACACACACACACACACACACACACACACACACACACACACACACACACACACACACACACCTCTCCTCTCTTATTTTTAAGATCAACTCGAGTCTCGGAAAACTTTGAGCTCCGTGCAATAAATTTATTTGTGGCGAATCAATTGCTGATTGCAGAAAACACTTTGTGTCGGCGCCATCATTTAATTTTGTTCTACGCTACAGAGAACTTGAATATCAAATTTTTGTCGTCCTTGTATCAAGTGACGCAAGTCGAGTAGATAGTAGCTAAATTAATTAATACGTATGGCGCAATATAAACATAAATTCTCATGCATCTAACCGTTGTGCGTTACTTTTTTTTCTCTTTCTCTTTCAACGCTCCGCTCTTATAGTCAATCTCCGAGGTTTATCAGGAATATCGTCGTACACATGCAACTGCGATTTGCTATCAGTATCGAATGTGTGTACACGTTGCAATTGTGTTTTCGAATGTCGAAATTGGAGTTATCTACAATTATCAGTTTGCAAGCTTATCGGCACGAGTCGTGCCCTAGGAACGGCTCGTAGTCGAAAATCTTAATTATGCGAGCGCGCGCGCGCTCGCTCGCATCCATCAAGTTAATTTAAGCGGCGCAGCCGATCGGGCGTCGCGTTTAGATCTTAAGTGACAATTGTGTCGTCCAAGCCGGTAGGCAGCAAGGCCGTTGCTTCTAATTGCAGGTGAATAGACACAACGATGGTAGATACACAACATTTTTGTCTGCGATGGAACAATTACCAGAGCAGCATAACCTCGGCGTTTGAAAATCTCCGGGACGATGAGGACTTCGTGGACGTGACGCTGGCCTGCGACGGCAAGAGCCTGAAAGCGCATCGCGTCGTTCTCTCCGCCTGTAGCCCGTACTTCAGAGAATTGCTCAAGGTAAGACTCCCGCCCTCAGACGCCGGCGAAGACCCTCCGGTCTTCGCGAAATTCACAGTGAATTTCGGGGCGGATTCGCTCGCAAGTAGATAAAATCAATTTGAAGGTCTCTCAGAAGGTCCGGTTGTTCTGTCTTTGGATAAACCACGCGCGTGATTTAATTGTTTTCTTGTTGGATAAACGAGTAAGAGAGTGAGATGGCGAAGCTGAAGGTTTATCGAAAGGTAGAACGATCCAACCTTGTAGCCATTTCTCTCCGATATACGGAGAGATGAATTTTAATCTAGATTTCATTTACTCCTCTCCTAAGTCTTACGACTGAAAGAAGATAAAGAGTGAGCTAGATCGAGATGAAAGTGAATCTACGGTTGAAATGGCTATTAGAATGAAATCATTCGTCATCGATCTAATGATTATGCGCAATAAACGTTGCCCCGTTTCAGAGCACACCGTGCAAACACCCAGTGATAGTGCTCCAGGATGTAGCGTTCAGCGACTTGCATGCCTTAGTGGAGTTTATATATCACGGCGAGGTGAACGTGCATCAGCGTTCTCTCAGCAGTTTTCTGAAGACGGCGGAGGTCCTCAGGGTATCGGGCCTCACGCAACAGACCGAACAAACCGACAGAGATGAGGTACGTTTTTCTTTTTCTTCTTCTTCTTCTTTTTTTTCTCCGACGCAATTATGGGGAACTGAAAGGGGAGTAATTCCGGTGAGTTTCGGACTTTGATGCTGCGGGCACGTGAGAACGTTGTGCTCGCTGCGTTTACGAGTGACAATGGAGATACAACAGCTGGCGTAAGATTCTATCTTCGTTCCAATTCTCTTGACCGTGTCTGTAGCACGTTTGAAATCGAACACACCGCAATTATGTGCGATTTGGCACAAAAATGCGTGTAAACGCGCGCGCGCGCGTGCGTGTGTGTGTGTGTGTGAGCGGCCGCACGTCTCGCGTGCGCGATACAACACAGACACGCGGGTATTTAACCGTGTAACTCGCGCGTATCTCTCGAAAGCTCAAGTGCAAATCTTGCGCGTTATCGCCGTTAGACGTTACTTCAGCGCCCCTTTCTCCTCGATCATCTCGATATAAAGCGCGTCTGTATACCTTGATGCCGATTCGTAATTGTCATAGGTCAAGCGAACGAAGGGCGATAAAAAAGCGGCTTGCGCTATAAAACGAAAATCGGATATCCACCGTAAATATTAAGTATCGAATATCGATGTGGCGCGTCGCGGGACTCTTCAATTTGTTGGCCGCACACACACACACACACACACACACACATACACTCGGTCGTACTGTATCATTTTCCGCGGAACGATTTATCGATCGTTTAAACGACGAAATTCGGCTCGTGTATCGCGATGATCTCGGTAATTATTAGCCGGATCCAAAGGGCAGGGGTAGGTCCAAGTGTAGGAGTGGCGTGTTTGTATACCGTAGTCTGTATAATTATTACCATTGCCGGTATACCGTATCTGTATTTTGTTTCAGCTGTCGCATGTCCGCGCGTTGGCGGCCGGCGGCAATCACCTGCCGTTCCACGAGAAGTCCGAGGAGACTTTCCCTCGCGGCGGCTCGCCTACGCCTGTGACCCCGACGCCGACCACCGTGCAGCAGCTACTGCGCCGTGCCCAGATACGTCGGAACGAGAGACGCACCCCGGACCCGCACGACGAGTCGGCGAAGAGACCGCGGGTGCCGTCGCCGCCGCTCAACAACAACGACGCCACGCCCACGGACTTCTCGATGGTCAAGAACAACCACCTGTCGACGAAGGTGGAGGGCAACGGGGTGCACGACGAGAACAGTCTCGTCGAGGAGAATATAAAGTGCGAGCCGTTGGAGCTGACCGGCGGTAACGGCGGCGGCAACGCCGGCAACGAGGACTCGTCGGACTCCGGCGCCGCGGCGTCGGACCGGCCGCCCGCGTCCGCTAGCAGCAACGAGCACGAGCCCGAACCGGAGCACACGTCCGCGCAGAACTTCCTGCCGGAGAGCAAGCTCTTCACGTCGACGCCCGGCAGCTTCAACTTCAGTATGGCGGCGCTCACCACCGATCATACGCCGTTGTCAGGTACGTGAGGGACACCGGACCCCCCCCAAGGCGGGCCTGTACGCACAGACCAATTCGCGGACCCCCCCCTGCGGGGGCCGCGCTGCAACCACCCTTCGACCCTTAAGTGCTCCGCATTTGTATTAATCCTAGACTATCTTTTTTCCATTTTTTATTTTTCTACCTTCGATCCGGAGGTGTAGATTCACCTTGTGAAGAAGGGATCGAGATTTAGATTCGTTCCCTTTTCTTTTTTCTTTTGTATGTATGTACGTACGTTTTATTCTTCTGCACTTAAGGGTTGATCGTACGCGATTGATCGTCGCTCCAGCGCACACGGTTTCCCCCGTGATCGTTCGATCGCAGTGTTTCTCACTATGTGCACGTTTGTGAGAATTAAAAGTCACGATTCGCATCGAATGTTGACTACTGCCAACACGCCTGACTTTCTTTCGTTTTGCCTTTTAAGAAAAATATATATTCGGTTGTTTTTTTCGTCAGCTTGATCGCTAGACTTTTTTTCTTTGAGCACCGTTTGAGCACGCATATATCGTCCGTGCGACTGGAGTCTTCGAGCTCTTAGCGTGGCTTCCGGCCAAGCTTTATCCAGCACCACCGCACCACCCTCGTCACCACCTCCGCACCACCGCGCGCTTTTTCTTTTTTAATTGCGAAATTGCGTACAGGCCATTGTTGAGTTTCCGCGCGCGATAGCATTGCCGTTGCTACGTGTGACGATAGTGAAATTTCCAGGGTTGGGCCACGGCTTGCAGACGCCGGATCTAGCGGGCACTTCGCAAGGTAAGGAACTTGAATATTCTTTTTTAGCTCTCTGCCCTTTTGAAATCATTAGAATTGCTTGAGAAATCGAGGTAATCGATATCACACGCTCCCTATACATATATATATATATATATATATACATATATATATATGTGTTTGTGTGTGTATGTATGTATGTATGTGACACTCGTTATCACGCGCGCGCCCGTAGAAACGTGCGTTCTTTTGATTTTTTTAAGGGCACTCTGCGCTACTTTATTATTCTTCCACTGACAGTCGATACATCGCGACAGACCTCGATCGTACGCGATGTAGCGGTTCGCTCTAATAAAAGTAACTAAAAGGACTTGTGCAGTTATATCAAACTAACCACAAATCACAAATTATAAGAATGAAAATGTTTACTGGTTGCGGTGAAAGAGCACTACTATCTGCTTGAAAGATTTATCAAATCTTTTTCTAATTGGCATGCGTTCCAAAATCATCGATATCATCATTATCAATACGGCACCATTTACGAATCGCCTACATTTTGCATATCATAAAAAAATCATATACTACGCGGAGCAGGTCCGGCTCCACGGCTACGTGCGAGATGATACCAGCCGAGCTATCGGTAATCGTAATCTTACAGCCGAGTTCGCGTAATTCGCGGAGTTTCACCAATTTTCTCCCTGTCGTATCGTTCTTGCAAAATTTAGCACACAGGCACGCTTGCCGATTGTAACTTACGCTCGTTAACCGATACGTCGATACGCTGAAATACATAAATATGAATTGCGATTGAATTCGTTATGACGTTTATCTAGATTCTGTATAAAAGATGAATCCGCGCGCTGGCACGTTTCACAAGTGCTTTATTACGTTATGCATCGGAAGCGTTATATATCGCGTTGCGTTTGATATGTTAATATAAATACATCTATATACTTTGCAGATATTATATAAAAGTAATTGCTTTTACCTGTAAATTTTATACGTTCAATAAAAATGCAGATGTATAATATCGATATTTATCTATTTATGTTTCAAATCGTTCCCTTACTTCAAAAGTGACACGACTAAAAAAACATGATTTTTATCGAGTTATTACCACGAATGAGTTAGGTAAATGTTACTCCATCGATCATCAGAAGTGAACTAATTTAACTTCATAAAAAAAAACGTCAAACGGTACAACTCAAAAAAAGTGATTTACAAAAAAAAAAAAATCGTCAAAATAATCACTGCGCAAAAAACGTTATTTTTTTTAAGGTTTGTGAAATGGAACTGATAAAAATGACATTTGATTATATCAGAGTATACACGTCCTTTTCGTCGATATTATTTTCATAATTAATAAATAACTTTTTATCAAAAAATTGAAAAATAGTTTTTTTTTCTTATCATAACTTAATTTCTTATCATTTTTTGAAGCAAGGGAGCGATATGAGTGTAAGGTATTTCGGGAGAAATGTACAGAATTTAATAAGGTATTATTCAGATCGTTTTCAAATAAAATATTTGTAATACGGGGGGCCAAAAGTACGTTTTCCAGATACATATCGGGACGGTCATATTTGCTAAAAAGTCTTCCTGCAAAGCAATTTTGACTTACATCGAACTTACATTATCTAGGAATCGTACAGAGCTAAGTTGTTCACTCGGGAAAATTTCTTTTCGAGACACCTTGTACGCCTGCTAATTTTTTTTCTTTCTTTTTTCGTCTTTTTCTCTCTGTAATCGAGGTAATTGAATGAAGAGCGTAGTTACGTGGGCAGAGCGACGCCTTTGAGCTAACGACAATTTTATCGACTCGCGCGAAAAATTCACACTGGCCGCAGCAGATACATTCGCTCCAACATCGAACCGCCGTTATTACCATCGGCACAATAATGTATATACGCCAACGCAATTGTGGTGGTAAAGAGAAAATGGAATGAAATGTACCAGAGTTTGGCATCATTGTGCGATATACGTGCCGCGCCCGCGAGATCGTCACCCCGGGTTTGTACGACGCCCCGAGAGGGTGGTTGCATCGTCGGGGGTCTAAAAGAAAAGGGATCAACGACGCGCCTTCGGCGTTTGTGTATATGCATCGCATCTGCCAGTTTCCCGATCAGGTGTTGAATGATCAGCGCCGATGCTTTGAGTGTCGTTGACATAAGTGTTGCTGATTTCTCGATAATCGATCGTTGAAGTGCTTGTATCGCTCGATTAAACGGGTTGGGCTGCGTATCGATGTGTTGTTAACGTTGTCTGTCCTCCTCGTGTTAACGTTTTGCAATATAAAATCAATATACGCGCCGATGATATCGTCGATACGATGCCGTGACGTTTATCGCATTCGTAGGTACGACGGAGGAAAGAAAAGAGAGGAAAAAAAAAAGGAATACAATATGACCGTGATCGATAAAATGCGCCGGAAATTATGTCTCGCAACTTTGATTTTCGCTACTTTCCCTGATCTTTCGTACATACATATATTGTGAAAGAGGATGTGATAGGTCCAATCATTTTCTTTTTTTCTGCACTCGCAAAGCGATGTACTCTTAGCCATCCGGAGCTGACGTTAAATTTTGCAACTTTGTTGACAGTCAGGTCTGTAAAGCCCGATCTACATTGACACAAAACGCAGATCGCAAGTGAAACGTATTTCAGATTGTAATAGGTCGCAGACCGTAGTAGGAAAGTTGAACTTCGCCCAACTTCCTGCGTCTTGCGTGTTCTGCATTCTACAATCTATTAGAATTAAAATATACGTTAGATTAATTTCTAGTTTTGACCTGCGCGACTCGCGTTCCATGTCTTATGTAGATCGGGCTTGAGAGACCTGTTTAATTTATATTGACTAAAGGGTATTCATTAATTTGAAGAAACCAAAATGGCGTAACTGCATTGGGAAACATTTCTGGCTGAAAATGTGAACGAACCAGAAAATTCTAATCGCAGCAGTCAGATTCTGGTTATCTCAACTAGAATTGTAGAATTATAACAGATCAACCAGAAAATTTTAATTTCTCTATTTTCAACCAGAGAGAATTCCAATGAATGCAACCAGACTCTTTCCAGTGTATGGAAAAGATGTGTGTTTGTGGTGTGTGTGTGTGTGTGTGTGTGCGCGCGTGTGCGTGTGTGTGTGTGTGTGTGTGTGTGAATACTAAGTTTTTTTAATAACAATCATTCAAATTTATAAATGTATCACATACATGTACATATAACATGAAAGAATATAATTGAATAGGTCTAATAGACGACTATCGATTCCTCTGCAGGGACATAATTATTAATGGGTTCAATAGATCCTACCGTCAACTCCGGTGGGTTAACAATGAAATTATCTATAACGTTTAATTAAACGAAAAGTGGAAAAGGAAATACACGAGAGAGAATTAGGATGCCAAGTTATAGGACGCGTTATCGTGTTACAAATTTTGACTACTACAAAACGTTAGACGAGGAAACGAGAGAGTGCCTATAACGAATTTGTATCGAGAATCACCGCACTAGCGACGTGTGTCGAGAGACGGAGCTGGCCGCTTACGTCGACGTAACGGCGCGATTACATCGTTTAAGGTGATAGCAGGAATCACCCTCTCCGCTGTGATGGGTGAATAATTACGGGAACGAAGAACGACGTACTTGAGCGTGCGTGACCTTCCACAAGCGGATTTCGGCAGCCGCCGTATTGAATGCGCGCGCGTGTGTGTGTTGCGTGCAAGTGTGCGTGTATTGAGAAACCACGCGTACGCCGAGAAAAGAATAAGAAACGTATCCGATCGATCGCGCGCGTATGCGTATGTGCGCGCGTAGGCTTTTCACGGTTTCGGCCAAGTTGCTCAGCCGGTAAGAATGTTCGCCGAACGGTCGTCGTCGGCCGTGATGAGAAACCGTGGCAGGCTGACTAATGCATTTTTCTGTTTTTTTTTTTTTTTTTTTTTTTTTTTTTTTTTTTTTTTTTCGCCAGAGAGATTGCGTATATCCCTCTTTGCTAGTAATCTATCTTTTGGGGAGGGAAGAAACTGTATGGAGGGAGAAGAAAACTTTGGCAAATTTGTGACAATCAGCCGATCGGTTGGTCGGTCGATCGATCGATTGTGTAAATTCAGGTGTGGCCACGCATTGTCGATTAATATTTGAACGTCTGGCTTATACTAGGTTAGTACTGAAAAAGTTTATCGCCGGGGACTGTGAAGCAGGGAAAAAGAGAGAGAGAGCGCGAGAGAGAGGGGGGGGATGGAGAGAGGAGAATTGGAGACCACGTCGATAAGGCTGCAGATGTTATCCGCGAAATTCAAGGTCCCTCTATCTCTGACGAGAACGAACGTGGCCAACTAAACATTGGCCTAACTAAAAATACGACGACCTTGGTACGCCACTCACGTTCCTGCCACTCACTCTCCACGAATCATTAGATACATTAAATTATATCTCGCCGGTTCGCGCACCGACCGAAAGGCAATCGCGATGGCACTCTTTTTGGACTGATAGGTTTCCTTTTTTTTTTCTCAGTTGTGTTTTCTTTCCTTTGCTAATTTCCTTTGCTAAAGAATGTCTTGCCATGCAGCTGCGCTCACTGTTGACTGACAGAATTTATGTCGCTTGTAGAGAAAGAGAGAGAGAGAGAGAGAGTGAGAGAGAGGAGGGGGAGGAAGGGGAG